AACTGTAACCCAGCTCCAGTGCTTTCCAGGGTAGCAGTCCCTCTCCCACACCTGCTCATCCAGCCTCCTCATACCTCCAAAACAGAGTCCATTCTGTCCAGTGAAGCTGCAGAACCCTTAGTCTATGGGAAAGACTGTATCTGAGCACAGCACAAAACTGAATTTACTTTCCAGCAGTCAACATGAGGAACAAACAACACAAGGAATAAACTGCTTCCAAACTTTGTGCTTACCTGTAGCTGCCACATAGCTTGGAGTTTATCCATAGCTGTCTCGCCATTTTCATCACAGAAGTAACAGGTAGGAGTGTTGGTCTCTTCTCTCTGAGAAGCAAATGAATGACACAGGTGGTTTGTGGGTATTTATTTAACCCACATTCCAGTCATTTAACTAATGACCAGGGGAAGGAAGCAGGAAAAGGAGAAACAGAGCCACTTTTAACTCAGCTTAATAATCTTCAAGCAATCTGTCCACACCTTTGCATATACAACAGCCATGTAAGTGTGCCATGCTGACAATAAGTGGTGGCCAAATCAACACTCTATGCCTCTGCATGAGCAAACTCTCAAAGAACTGGGCTGATACTCCCAAATAGTTTGTTGCCCTACTGAAACACCTGATGCTCGTGACTATAACGACCTAGAACACACCTGATCTAATTGGGATTCAGCCTTGGTAATAGGCCTTTATCATCAGCACAGCAGGACATAATAAAGCCTCCACAATTAAGTAAGCAACAAAACTATTTCCTGCCTTTCTCTCTTTTAATAGTTTATTTATGATGGCATAAGCACTGAAATTGGTGCTATTAACATTTATTATACATGGTTTTGTTAAAGTTTAGCATTTTTCTGTGCTAGAAGCAACAACATTTGTCCACTGAGGTTTCTATTTGGCTGCCACAGGCTGCAAAGCAGAGAGGAACCAGGGGTCTGGAAAACCCAGCACTGTGCTCCAAGGCAGGTGCTCAGTGTTCAGGAATCTCTCCAGAGAGTACCATGGTGCTTCCAAGGTAGAATTACCACCTATTTTACCTATGTGCAAGTCTGGGGGTCCTTTTGCCCCCTTCTCTCATCCAAAACCCCAGTTTGTGCTACTCTATCTCTGTTCAATCCCACAGCTCCTCAGCCCCTGCAAAGAGAAGCATGAGGAGGGGGATTGCAAGTTCAGCCTCACTTCACAGCCTGCCTGACACCAGTGCAGGGGCCAGCACCTCCCCAGCTCCTCCACAGGGCTGGGGAAAAGGGGACGGCCAAAAGCACATTAAGGAAATTAATTCAGGTGTTGTTGAGACTTTAAAGTAAATGCTTGAGAAAGCAATGCAGGAGAGGGTCACAAATCTACACTGGCTGGCCTGTGCAGCCATGTCCACAAGGCAAAAGCTGCCCAGCTGCACCCACACCGTGCTCCAAGCCATGACGACAACCCAGAGACACTCACAGCCCTCCCGCCATGGCTTCAGCCCACAGACACCCATGGCCCACCCGCCATCGCCTCAGCCCAGACACACCCATGGCCCACCAACACCCATGGCCATCACCTCAGCCCACAGCCCTCTGGCCATTGCCTCAGCCCAGAGATGCCCACGGCCCTCCCGCCATCACCTCAGCCCAGAGAAACCTACAAACACCCACAGTCCTGCCGCCATTGCCTCAGCCCAGAGAAACCTACAGACACTCACAGCCCTCCCGCCATGGCCTCAGCCCACAGCCACCCACAGCCCTCTGGCCATTGCCTCAGCCCAGAGACGCCCATGGCCTTCCCGCCATCACCTCAGCCCACAGACACCCACGGTCCTCCGGCCATCGCCTCAGTCCGAAGATACCCACAGCCCTCCCGCCATCACCTCAGCCCAGAGACACCCACGGCCCACCGGCCATCGCCTCAGCCCTGAGACACCCACAGCCCTCCCGCCATCACCTCAGCCCAGAGAAACCTACAGACACCCACAGCCCACCTGCCATTGCCTCAGCCCTGAGACACCTACAGCCCTCTGGCCATCGCCTCAGCCCCTCAGGACAGGAATGGCCTCCCCACAGCCTTCTATACCAGCAGCCTCACCTGCTGGGGCAACCCAGACTGTCACGTGAGAGCAGGAAAGGGGAGCCCTATGGCTGTGGGGCAGGAGGCCCAGTGCCTGTCACTATGGGACTGCCCTTGCCCAGGCCACTGGAACCTGTGAAGTCTGAGAATTTCCACCAATGTAGACATTATCTTCTCTGTGAGTGCCTCAGGGAATAAAACAGTCCATGAGGTTACTGGAGAAGAGCAACTCTGCCCAGACACACAGGCGATCCTGCTAGAAATGTCTCAACTCCAACTGGACACTAACAGCAATTAAAAAAAAAAAAAAGTATAAAAATGGTGACTGAAAAAGCATGGAAAGCTGCTCTCTAGCTGGTGGGCTCCTCCTGGCTACATAAGCAGTTAGGAGACCTCAGCAAAAAAACAATTCAATCTAGGATGAACAGCTGCCCTTACACTGTGGTGTGGTGGTTTTGCTGGTAGAGCCTGTGTGGTGCTGCAGGAAACAGTGCCAGGAAAGGGGAACTAAAAGCCTCTGAGGTACACTGAGAAGCCACCTTCTCCACAGCTGCTCCCTGACTGCTCCCTGAGGCCAAAACCACCCAGTTAGGGCAACTGGTGGCAGACAGGGGTTGTGGGGGCAGGGACATGTGAGGACACTGGACTGAGCAGGGAACCAGGGCACGTCTCCCTGTCCATGGCCCCATGGGATGCTTCAGTCCATGCCTACATCCAACCCTCCCTGCTGGCACTGAGTCACTGGGTCCCTCAGAGCATCCTCTCTTCAGGCTATCAGAATCCAAGGCAATGGCCAGTTTTTCTTACTGACAATCCCATCCTTAAATCCATTTTCACCATGGAGACCATCTCCCTCATTCATCTCTCATCCCCGGAGACACAACTTTGTGGGACTCCAACTCCTGCTTGTTAGCTCAAGCCAAAAGGAATAACTATCAACTAAGAATAAATACTAATTAACCTGAATCTTTCATCATATCGTGATCTGAACCAGATGCTATCTCTAACTTTAGGCTGCTTTGAGATGCAACCTCTATCTGCAGCAGGCAAAAATAAGATTCCTTCTTTTGATAAAGTTAATTGTGGGCCTCAACAAGACACATTTCTTGGCAATGCTGTGCTCTTATCTTTAAATGCTGTGAACTCACAAGGGTTTGAAAGGTCTTACATTTTGAGTGCCTCCCATATGAGTTTTGTGATTGAGAATTCAATCCAGGAAACTGCCTATGTCACACTGGAAAAAGAGGTGCAGTGAAGACAGCTTTAGCACTGCACACAAGCACTGAATAGAAGCTGTCTCAGAACACTCAGCAAAAGGCTGCACATGAGCACAGCCGAGATTTAGCCCTCCAGTGCAGGGGACAATAGGGTGAAAGCCATATGGCATCTTCTGTTGAGCTGGTTGAAATCAATAATGCTTTATATTGGTTTTAGTATCACTGAAAGAATAATAGAGCAGGGTGAAAACCAAAGATTTATCTGCCAAAGTGTATCAACATTTTCAAAGCTGCTTTGTTTTGGTTTTTTTTTTCATTTGTTGGAAGAAGCTCCAATGTTTTCTAAACTGCTGAAAACCACTGTTAAAAATTCCTGTAACAAAACTGTGGTTTTCATTATGACTGTTGGTACTTATGCAGATAACATACATAGAGAGAGGAAACTATACAAACCAGACTTACTGTAAAAGCCAAGACCTTTCATAAATGCAGCTGTGTTCCCTTGCAGAAAAATAGGTTATTTGGGGGAAAATATTTTTGGACTTCAAAAAACAGCGACAGGGATACCAAATAACTCTTGGCAAGAGCTGTGCAAAGCTGAACGCTGCCCAGCTCCACCTCTCAGGCACCTTCTGTGCAACAGTCTATACTGGTAACTAGGATTAGCAATTTAATCTTCACACCACTTCAGCATGGACATGTAAGTTTCAACAAGCCTGCAGATGAAGCCATAAAATCAAGCCTCTACCATTGTGAAGTTGCATAAGCAGTGTTTAAGTGGTTTAATAGTGGGGTTTGTTTGTACAGCATGAATGTCATTGTATATAGCAGCTCAGCAAGTCTGAAGATGTGTCCAGCAGTGCCAACTCCTCAGGTGCTGGCACACCTTCCCATCCACAGACTGACTGCTGCAGATCACCAAAGGCCTCTTGGTCTGTAAGACATGCATCTCACTTGTGAGGCCAGAATAACCCAACCCCTTGTTACATGGCACAAGGAACTGCTTCTGTGTCCTCTGAAATAGACCTTGCTTTCCTAGAAGAAAGCCCTCAAATCTGTGCTAAAGGAACAAATGGCAGTTCTATCCTCCAGGACAGCTGTAATAGTCAAAACCACTGAAAATGAAGTACTGCTCTACCTTCTTCATGAGTCCAATCACCACCTGCCTTCTCTCTGTGTCTTGCAAGTGGCTGTTTCCTATGGTAGAAAGGCACAAGTGAGCAGTGAGAACCACTGGAGATAACCAGAAGTTACCTGATTCTTACCAAAACTGATGGGAATTACATAACCAATTTTTTGGGGGGAACTCTGTCAAATTTAATGCCAAAATTGCTCTTAAGTCTTCTATTTAGGGTACTGGCTGACTGTAAATCTCTAAAGGTACATTGTCAAGTGGAAACACCAGCCAAAATTTCAGCCACCTGAACAGTCCCAGGTGCCCAGGTGTATTTTAGGTACTGAAAACAACCTTTAAAACTTGAGTCAAGATTCCTTTCCTTGAACTGAAGGTTCATAATCTTTGATGAGTCCCATAACCAAATCTGCCATCATAACAAATGCACAGGCATCTCCTTTCCTGGATGTGGGTGGTTTTGATGCCTGCACTGGTTATAAGCAGCAATGTACTAAGGGAGTACAAAACCATGAAATTTAGGAAGATGAGTAATGTATGAAGTGGAGGCAGTGAGAGATGATCCTCATATTATGTGCTTTTATTTAATAATGTATAAATAAGTAACAGCTCTCCCCAAACTGCCCCTCAGCCTAGCAATTACATGTTGGCTGATTTCTGGTTAGTGCTGTTCTTTTATAATAACAAACTGTTCCCAAAGCCTCACATACAGAGAATTAGACAATCAAAGTACTGTGTGCAATTTTCCACTTAATTCATTCAGTTAGTTGCAATTAAAACAATACAATTCAAGGCCTTGTGTGTTTCTCTGAAAAAATACAAAACTTTACTTGTTACTATTAATATATACAACCTACAAGAAAGTGTTAACAAAGCCCCTTTGTCTTCACTGTTGTAGTAGAGTAATTTTCTTATCTTTTTCTGTAGATGCCCTGGCAGTCATCAATATTTCTTTCAGTTGCTGTTCTTCAAAAGACACACACTTTTCATTCAACTGCACAGAAAAAAAAAAAAAAAAAGAATCCAGTGGGACAAATTCCATTGGTGAGCAGGTCCACTGTAGCTGCCTGGAAAGGAATCTAGGTGAAGGTGCAGGGCTTGCATTAAGGAGATGATCAAATCTATTTAGAAGGGAAGTGACACCATTTTATCAGGCAGTAATCAAATTTTTGTTAGATTTTACCTAGATATTTTACCTAAATATTTCATATTTCTGGAAAAGCAGTGTTTCATGGCTAATGATCTCTGTTCACCCCCTTCATACAAATGACATACCAAGTTATAGCATGAGTCTAGAACCTTTCCTTTTTTTGCTTTATGGATCTTCACTAATGCAACCTAATGACAATCTAATTAATATTATACCAGATTTGTGGGTGTAAAAGAGAACAGAATCTGTACCTGGCTTCACAAGAAAGTGATAAGCCACCCTATTAGAGCTGCTGTGACTGTCTCCCATACCACCAAGCTCCCCCAAAACTGGGCATTATTTCCATCAGGCATGAACACAGAGTGTGCAATGCTCAGAGAGCAGCAACATCTCTGCCTTCTGAGGATGCATTGTGTCTGTCCAAGTCTCACGATGTTTCCAGAGCTTCCGTGAACAAGGTATATCTCCACATTATTCTTGGTAGAAGGCTATCCTCCTGATGTGCTTGTCTTGGGTATGTTAATTCAGTGTTTCAGCTGTGCTTCTTGACAGAGGCTTGATTCAGCCTACTCCTGCAACAGAATAACAAAGCACTGATTTGGATCTTGTACTCTTAATTATTATTCCACCAACATAAATAAGCATTTTACTTAAGCTCAGTTCCTCAAGAAAGAACTATTGTCTGCTTTGATAAGATGGTATGAAATTTATCCAAACATTTATCGAACTACATGAAATCTTATTGGAAGAATATGTTCTGAGATTTTGTGAATAAAGTCCCTCAGGATAAAGTAACCCCAAAATATGTGTCAGAGCAGAGATTCCCAAGATCTGGTCCAAAGGGAACTCACGGCTCATCTAGTGCTCACTTTTATTCTTTCTTCCAGTACACAGCAGCATAAAAAGGCCAGGACAAAATAAAGAACCAAAATCAGCATTTCTTTTCCAGAAAGGCAGACCTCAGCCAATCCCATTTCCAAGAAACACTGTCCAGTATTTTCCTTCCTTCCAGTTACTGTTGTTCTACAAAGATGTTACACAGTGATGAATGACAAGGAAGGCAATTCACCAAACAAGGTACCTATTTCAAAGTTATTTTTATTAAAAGAAATGCTAATATCATACTCGTGGCATATGACTTTATCCTTGAAGAATGCTGCAATTTGCATATAATCTGGGTGAAAGAAATTTAGTTGAAAGACCACATCTCCAACTCTTAATGAATGTTCCCAGAAAGTCTAACAAAAGGAAAAAAAAAAAACCAACCACCTCTGCTTGGCACGTTTTTTCCAAATGTGCTTTCCTAGCTTAGGTTGCTTTCATAGAGATAACACTGGCAGACAGTAACTGTACTTGTTCTGTAATAAAGATACTTTTGATATGGCATTTCAGGGCAATTGGATTACTAAAAAAAAAGTTACAAAGCTAAACATATCATCAGTGTATATCAAGGATCATGTTATTATAATAAACTATATAATGTAAGGCACTGTATATGAAATCAAAGAGATATTTTATATCACTTTAATATGTTGACATTATCAACCAACCTATAAATACCAATAACATTTTCATTATCATCTACATTTAAGCTTCTTTAAGCTTTCAAGTGCCCTTATGACCAATACCCAAACCCATGCAATTCAATTCCAGCAAGTAACTCCAAAAATCACATCAAGGAAGTTCTTTATTGGTTTCTCTCAATGACTTCCAGATTAAATCTGCTCTTCCATAATCACAGAAAAGGCTTCCTGTGAGTATCTCATCTAAAAACACATGGTTGAAGTTAGGTATTTTCAGTGCTCCAACAAAGGACCATGCATCTAGAAAATAGTTAATAACTCTCCTGATGACTCACAGACTGAAATCAGTGCTGACTCTTAGTATCAGAAGAATGAAACCATATTTAAGAACTAAAATAAGATTGTGGAGCACACAAAAGGAATAGGTTTGGATCTCAAAGTATCTACCTTTTACCCACTCACCTTTCAGACACTTGGGCTTCATTAAACTCCCAAATATCACTGCAAGAATGTGCACTACCAGTGAGTGCATAAATGCCAGAATGCCAAGGTAGGGAAGAAGCAGACATAAATCTGCTCACAGTAGTGTTCCAGATTGGTGCTAAAATAAGAGTTATGAGCTACATTCATTTCAAGTAAATATAAAATTATCTATACTCAGTTCAGGCCTTCTTTAGTCATCATCTACTTGGGAAGAAATTATAGCTTTACAGAACAGCATTCATTTTTCTCAGTGACAGAAAACAAAAGTGAACAAACTCTTGCCCTTCTCCAGTTCAGGCCAAGGAGAGATCCATGCACAAATCTCTAAGGGTAACATCTACCCAGCACAACTCAGCTGCACTTACCCATTCTGTAAGCTCCCAGACCAAAAGCAATTGGCTCAAGCCTCTGGAAAAAGAAACGTTTCACATCAAAATATTCTTCCAAATAGAAGCTGAGTACACAAACTTACTACCTCTCCTTGTAACAAAAGCTTTAATTCATAATGTTTTGTAGAAGACAAGATCTTTACTACACCAGACAGCAAGAGAAACTTATAGTGTCCTTTCAGGCCTGTTCATCTTGAATAATTGCAGTTACGAATGGACAAGTGCACTTCACACCTCCTAGAACAGGCAAACAAAGAAGAGCAAAACAAATCCTGGAGTCCTCCAGAACTCAGCATTTCCACCTAGCTTTCTATTCAAATATTTCTACCCTTGATTATTGATACTGAACTGTAGCATTACAGTCCCTGGGTGGGCAAGGATAGGTTGGATTCAAATCTACACAGGGACCCCCAGACAATGTCATTCAGCCCTAAATGCAGATGTATCACTGGCCAGAGACCTGGATGGTGCTAAGACCTCAACAGATCACATGTGTAGGCTAGGGAAATTTGAGCTTCTGCAGAAGGAGCTGTGGGAATAAATTCAGGGCTGTTTGTCACAAGGACCACTGAGTGTGTGTTGTCTCTGTCACTGAGTGTGTGTTGTCTCTGTCTCTGATCCACACCCCTCCATGTTACACTAAACAAATCCATGGATGCACTGACTAGCAACAAATCAGCAGCAGCTAGTAAAATTAAACTGAGCTAGACATCATTGCTATATTGAACAAAACAGATTCTTCCCTCCACCAATAAGGACTAGAGCAGACAGAAGTGCAAGAGCTGTGTGATGACAGACTTTCATCAGGGAAGGCAAACGGGCAGGCCTTGGCAGCTGTGTAAATTCTGTGGTTTGGTCCTGGAGGTTGTGGCTTCAGCCCCAGGTCCCAATTCCTTACCACAAACCACTAGAGATCTCTCTGAGTAAATGCAGGACCAGCTCTTTCTTAGAGAGGCACCATCAGATTCAAATATCACCCATGCAAAAGGCCTGCAGCTGAAGCATCCTGCCACAGGCATGGCTACTCAGCACAGCTGTGGGCATGACACCTTTCAGCTTGACAACAGAAGAAAATGTCCTGAGCACCTTCCATCCCTGCAGGCTGCCTTCCTTCTTGGACAGCCCCTCGGGAATACAACTCAGCTGCTTTCTCTGAATCAGATACAGAGGACCACAGATTAATTAACACTGCCTGTATCCCAGGAATATCCTGGGGACCTTAATCACAGCCCTTGGCTATGCTCCACTAGGCACTTTCCATGCATTAGGCAAAAGGCAGGCTCTGCATGTCAGGGCTCCTCCAAGAAAGGGCTGTCCACCTGCAGAGCAGCAGCTTTTGAATCACTCCAGAGTCCAGGCTGCTATTCCCAATATCCAAACGTAGCCAGCTCAGCCTGTTACTGTCAGTCTTTCTGAACTCTGGCAATGAGGCAAATCGGCATGAGCACCAGTGGTCACAGCCATCCAGGCACTCCAGCCAACACAAGATACAGATGAAAGTCATGCATGGGGCAGCCCTTGCTTTGCATTTTGGTGCAGATGTACACAGAGAAAGGCACGAGGGCAGAGCTGAGACAGTGGGAAGCTCAGAGAGAAGGAGGGTATCTTACTTAAAGTCACTCTAAAGCATATTACAAATCTGTTAAATCATTGTGGCTTACCCTATATTTCAGAGTAAATTAGTAACTTTTCAGAAGGAGTGAAGAAACTACCACTCCACTTTTAAATAATGAAAATGCTAAAAAACCTACACTTAACAGCTCTAAAACTGCAGCAAGTCACCCACCAACACCCACTCCTCTTGTCAGCAGGCTTTTTTCAGCTTTGCCTATTATTTGTGTCAAGTCAGAGATGTCTAATATTTGCTGTGCTTATCTACTGAACTTTCAGGAGCCCCAAATGTTACAATATGTACCTGTGCCACTGACCTTTTTCCCCACAGCATTTTGATCTAATAAGTAAAAACCACAGAGTTTCCAAAATCATTTGGATTCACTGCTCTGAGTGCATAGCTGTAAAAAATCTGCTTTAAGATTAACATCCAATTTTATTCATGCCTGAGGCTTCACCACAGCATCTATTTTTGTAAGATTAACAGCAAGATCCCAGTTCTCCAGAAATGTAAAGAGTAACAGACAATTGTAAAAGGAAGATGATGTTTCCTAACCTGCCCTTCTCACATCCAAGAAGGTGCATTTTCCTAGCCCTTTCCACATTGGGTGTAATTTCTATTTGCATTTTTGCACCCACAACATACAGTATGTGTATTAGTCCTTCTCCCATTAGCTGGAATGCAAACTGTGGGTGCCAAAAAATACTAACATAAATCTCACATGAGCAAAGCCTCCCCTGAAAGACAGCTTTTACGCTGGAGGAGTTAAGAAACAGCCATCTTCCAGTACCTTGCACAAGAGCAGTTTGAATAATCTCTAACTTGAAAATAAAAGTATAGAAAATGAAAACTTGATTTTTTGGCTAATCCATTTGAAATGAGTATACATAAAAAAACATTTCTTTTTGGACATAGCAACCTGAGGACAAATTGAGGGTCATTTTTAACCTAAATATCAGAGGAGATGTTGCTTTAAATAGCTTTTGGTGTCTGTCAATTAGAGCTATTGCATTGCTGTCAACTTGCATTCCTGCTTTAGTTCCAGCTTTGCTCCATCCTACACAGATCCCTGCAAATCAATTGTCTCTTGCAAACGTGCACTAACCACTGGAAAGTGAAATTAATAAAGTGTGAGAAAATCTGATTCATAAAGCTGACACTCCTGAGCCCAACAACTCTTCACATGGGCAGGCAAAGTGGTAAAAGATTATCAAATTGCAACTGTCATTCCTGACAAAATGCATCTCAATGCTGGAAGGAATTTTAGGTTTTAGGCTAAACCACCACCTCAAAGGGTTCCTCAGGGCCTGTCAATATCTGTACTTCAGATGGAAAGCTACCACTGAGCGCAGTGTGCCCAACATACAGAACCTGCCACAAAATGAAGTTCTTCATAAGAAAGCTCATCTCAGTCCTGGTTGGTAACAATAACAAGGAGACAAGATGAGACCATCAGTCTCAATTGTGAAGACAATGTTTTCCTCCCATATTATTCTGTCTGTCATGTTCCCTTCAGGTTCCAAAGGAATCCCTGTCTCATATATCATTATTTCCCACAAAGCTTG